GTATAACAAAGTCCCCTGATCAAGTATAAAAAAGTCCCTGGCCCAGTATAACAAGATCCCCATATCGAGCATAGAAAGTCCCTGATCGATTATAACAAGAATCCCATAGTCGAGTATAACAAAGCCCCCATGGACAGGTATAACAAAGTCCCCTGATCCCGGAGTATAACAAAGTCCCTGGTCGAGAGGTATAACAAAGGGCCTGATCGGTAAGACAAAGGATCCTCTGATCGATTATAACAAAGTCCCCTGATCCTAGTATAACAAAGCCGACTAGGCGAGTATAACAAAAGTCCCCTGAACTGGAGTAACAAAAGTCTCCTGATCGAGTAACATATCCCGTGATCGAGTATAACAAAGTCCCTGGTGGAAAAACAAAGTCCCCTGGTCATGAGTATAACAGTTTTCTGTCGAGTATAACAATGGCCCTGGTCAAGTATATGAGTGAATGAGAAAGGGACGGCGTTTACGTATGATAAACTAGGTCACGTCCTTACGATATGAGTTGAGGTGAGCTACTGAAGCTTAGGGCACCGCAGTGTGCTACAAAATGCTGAGCAGGCCTCGCCCTCTTGAAGCGTCCGCTCACGTGTCAATCTCATGTCTTACCATAGACAGAAAGTTACAGGTGGTGAATCTGAATATAATATCAGATGATTGACCCATTTATATAACACGTTCTGTTGATGAGACAGGGCTCACATCGCTCGGTCACCTACCAGCCGAGCCCGTGAGGCCTAAATAACTCACAGAGTACAGTACATCCCAGACAACCCTAACCATGTTATAAACAGATATGTAGACACACTGTTAAAATTACTGTAGGGTATTCTCTACTACAGGGACCTAGACTTGTGTCATACGGTTAGTATGTTATGAACAATGCTGAATTTGGATGATACTGCCCGCAAGAACAGAACATTATTGCCAGAATTAACAGAATAGAGGAATCGTAAGACTTGGTAGTGCAAATTCCGTGACAGGTAAAATGGCAAGTTATTATTCAAATCAACAAATGTGTCTCGCTCAAGAAAGCTAACACTTTTAATTTCTCTGATACTATTTGAATATCCTTGATAGTGAAATTCATTATAGGAAGTGGAATTAAAGCAGACTTGAGTTTTCGATTTAACGCCAAATGCTGATGAGTAGGCAAGGTCCGTAATGTACTACAAGTGATTTCACAGTAATCAGAGCCTTGCAATGCACCACAACTAGCTGCTTAACACCATTTTGCATTTTGCACCATAAGCAGTAGTGAGATTTGGAAAGAAATAAATACTGCACATTGTGAAGGTGAGCGGGAACACAGTCTTTAGACTAACTGGCCTATAACTGCATTGGCGCTAACGCCAGGCGTGCACATTTGCTGTATGACTGCCAGTTCACATATTCCCTCTGCAGCAGGAATAAATGCAAACATGTAGGCTGACATACGCGGTAGGTGCAGATAAGACGACTTACACCGGTGACAGTACCCTCAGAATCCCCTTATTGGACAACAATGAATAGCCCTTCATCTACTAAGAAAATTCTTTTTAGGGCCTATCTAGGTATATGAAAAGCAAGCCGTTCACAAACCAGGGAAGGGCTCTAAATGCCATGCATTAAAACTCATGTTGCCCTCGGTGATAGAATGTGGATCAGAATTGCATATTGCGAGGTTGACTCCAACAGGGTAATGATAGATGAACCCTCATTGTCATTGAAAATCGGAGTTAAATGATACCGCAAATTGGCTATTTTTAAAGCCCAAGAAGCGGCTCATCAGGCAATGCTTTCATGGCCCACACGCCCTATCCTGGCATCTACAATGCTGTCTATTAGTTCTATTTTAGAGGTTACAATTTTATGAACTGAAATTTCAGCAGCATGCAAATATTCTGTGAAGTAAAGGAGCCATTCTAACGCCGGAATTGGCTTTCTGGTAAACTGTCAATCCCTAAACTTGTTAGACTCCATTATGATTGCATTAACCTTTGATTCTAGAGCAGTAATCGCGTGAAAGGTTTGAGAAATAACACGATTCTGTTGGAGATACAGCTTGAACGAGAACGTTCATGAAACTATTGTCGATTCATCGAAGCTGTGCTGGAGACCATGAAGAATGTCCAATGCTGATTGTAGTTGGTCAGTCGACGTTTTCCATCTGACGCGAAAGTACGAGTTAATCTCGGTTTATAACGTAGTTTCATACAATAGTCATTTAGACATTTACTTCTGAACAGTCTGTAAGTTCTTCAGACGATCCGCGTGCACGACATCTGCGATCTGTGCATTAGGCTTCCATATTTTAACGTTGTTGCCTGTTTCTTTTGGGTCCTTTGCGTGGATAAAAATTCGCAGGATTTGGAGTTCTTTCAGTACTGTAACATCTTAGCGTCCCCAACGTTCAGTGCGATAGGTTTAGCATGTTTATGTGTTTGATGATCATTTCGGTAGCGTGACGCCGCTAAGCTGTGATCGTTTCTAGGATTTTACGATTGGTTCTTTTCTAACATTAGCCTGTGGATGATAAGCTGTCATAAAAAGTTTGTTTAATTCTATATTGTGTACATATATGCTCTATTAGTCTATTCTTGAACTCTGTCCCATTGTCAGAGAGAATCAGGTGCAGTATATGGACATATGGAGATTCATCACAATGCATAGGCTACTGCTTCGGCTGTTTTGCTTTTAGTGACCAAGACCGAACTCGGAAAAAATGGATCCACACACACTAAGATTTATCCTGATCCCTGACAGACCTGATTGGGAGCTGTAACACATCAACAGCTTACCGTACAACGACGGTCTGGTGTAGGGATATCAATTCCTGGGGCTGGTGATCCTGGGGTTGATCCTTTTGATAAGGAGCACATGCCAAAACAATTACTATGTAATTCTATGTCTTTCATAGTGTTCCAGAAAAACTTTCTTGTAAATCCGCTAAGCATTTATTTGATGACCTGGTGATCTGCTTGTGGGATACCAAAACAATGTTGCTTAAGAAGTACGACTATTTGAGATAGCATTACCTTGGTGGAGATTTCTTTTCTCGGGTTCCATTGAGTATAAGTTATGTCGTAACTAAATTGACTTATGGAAGAATAACTTGGGGAGCTTAATATCCTCCCTCGCCTGATTCGAGAGCAAAATAATAGCTGACCAATATGGTCGCGGTTGTTGCTCATCTCTTTCCAGCTGCGAAAAGAGTGAACGTTGATACAGGCATTACTGGTGCTATATTTCTTGACAGAGCGTCGGCGACAAGATCTAAGTTTCCCAGGTAAATACCTAAATTCGAGGTCAACTTCGAATCATCAGATACCAGCGTGTGCTAATCTGCCTGATAAGTTTTTGCTATGAACAGTTCGTACCGCCGTAAGATCAGTAAAAAGAAGTTAGTCTTGAGCCAAAGATAATGTCTCGAACTCTTGGCGCTCTGCCATAACGGCTAACGCTTCTAAACGCGTCACTGAATAACGTTTCAGCATCGATTAGTTTGCGACTTGCAAAATGCTATCACCGTAAACTTCCCACGCGTGTCCTTCTGCATGACACCGTCTGACTCCAATTCCGGGAGCGCTGCACAGAGAGTGAAAGGTTGAGTGTAGTCTGGGAACGCCAGGAACCGACATTAGCGTTTGTCTTCAATGCCGTAAACTTTCTTCGTGTGTTCAGCATCCCACATGCAAACACCGCATCTTTGAGCAACCCTGTTAGGGGCGATGCTATCGTATAGTCCCTGGATAAAGGAAACGATAATAACCAGATAATCCGAGAAGTGCCAGCACAGATCATTTGAGTGTAGGAGGAACTGAGATGGTTGTGCTTGACTTTATCATTAATCGTAAAGCTCCTCACCGTCGATTTCATATGACCAAGGAAAATGGATTCTGATTTTAAAAACTTGCACTTTGAGAGTTTTGATTTTGAGTCCTGCTGTGAAAGTTTGCTCAAACTTCATGCAGTTTAATCCAGATGGGAATCGATGTCCTTACTGACTACTAATAGAC